CTAAAAGCTGCCCAGTAGAAACCTGTACGCAGATGGCATTGATCAACCAGATCAATTGTACACAACCTTGACAGAAATGAAAATACAGTGGTCTTCTCTTCCAATATTCTGCTGAAAAATGTTAAAGGAGATTCGTTGCAAACTGAACTCTGAAATGTAGTGCTGAAAAAATTCAAATGAGGATACACACTCAAATCAGTACTATTACTTTAGAATTTCTGTCTCATAACGGAGAAAAAAGTTCCTTGAAAAAGGGAGGGATAGCAATGATAATCAAATTTTTAACATGGCAGCAAAAATTGGCCCTTGTACTGAGACCTAGACGTAGCTAGGATCAAAGATAAGGAATCCTAGTTATCAATCAGTTGCAGCCCAGCCATGTAAGCTTGTATTTAAAAAAAACAAACATATTTTTTTCCTTGTCACCAGTTCATCTAACACTCTAACCACTACACCATGTGGCCTCTCCATTTGGGTTGGTCACTCAGCTGTTAAAAACACAGGCACCTGCCTTATGTAGCTTTCTATTAAAAAAATATAAGTGAAGGGACAGTTTTCTATCCTGCTGCTCCCTCTAGTGTGCATTTACTGTATTTTTCTGGAACAAATGGGTATAAAAGGGAACATTTCAAAATGCTCACTGATTTTTCTCCAGTTTGGAAAATTACTATCTCAGAATCTACAAGCCAGTACGGTAGCCCTGCTAGCTGGTGGATTCTTGTATTAAAAAAAACCTGAACTTTTCCAAGCTCTGCTTCTCTCTTTTAGATGAGGTTTTAAGAATCTTGGAACCATGTGTCTGCACAAAGAGAAAGGTCTTGTATTTAATTATTTGAAATCATTGAGAACAACAAATAAACTATTTTGGACCTCCTCCCTCTTTTTATCCCAGTTGAGTTGCCTCCCCAGCTAAATTCGTAGGAATTTTCCTTATTACTCAGCCCTCCTCCATACCCATATTGATCATCTGCCTCCCCATCACATACAGACCTAACCCAGGTATTGGGGATCTAAGGCTGTAATCCTAAATTTGCTATACTCAGGGGAGTATAGCATCCATACATGTGTGATGCATACATGTGTGATGCAACAGCACAACCCTGAGCTTATGTACTCAAAAGTAGTGGTGCCATCAGGTGGGCCCCACACAGCTAAGTGAGTAGATGCTTCCCGTATACCCATCCTGCAGGGCTAGTTTAGCACATAACCACTTGATTAACCATCTAAAGCAAATGCGGGTAACCCAGGTGTTTTTGGACTGCAGCTCCCAGAAGCCTTCCCCACTAGCTATGCTGGCCAGGGTTTCTGAGAGTTGCAGCTCAATAACACCTAGGTTATCCATGGTTGGAAACCACTGAACTAAACTGAGGTTTCCCATCTCCTAAGACCACTCAACCTAGAGTCTCAAGGCTGAAACCATATAATGTGGACAGCAATTCTTCGAAGTGGAAAATCCTTAACTGCCAATGGTCACAGCACAAACTCTTCTCACCACCAGTATCTTCCAAATTAGCTTGCCTTCTTTGGCGATTATTCACTGGGAGGTAAACATGTGGTTCATCTGCAAGACTGAGGCACCAAAGTCTATGGAGTTGCTATCAGTTTGTAAGTTCAATGGGAGCATACTCTCAACCAAACACATTTAAGAAACACCCGGTATTAACACAAAGACAAGACACGTGGTGATTGGATAAATATTTTTTATACTGAAATGCATAGGTGAGTCCATTTGTCTATGGTACTTGCTACAACAAGGGAAGAAGGCGGATGGGGTGTCTGGTTATTCACAAGCTGGGGCAGGGTGATCGGCAAGGAGAAAGGAACGAAGGAGGCAGGAAACTGATGGAAGACTGATGTGTTGGAAGGATCGGAGAAACCCAATGGAACAAGCAATGAAGATGTCTCAGGATGGGAGCATGTCCTGGCACCCTTCTAATCTTGCTAATCATCTTGCTTGCCTTCCATGAATCCGGGAGTTTGGGATCCTACCTTCTTCCCTGCTATTTTAAAAGTACGCAAAACTGTACGGGTGCTCGACAGTGCCTACATCCTCTTAACCACACTCATTTCTTGTCTGCTGTTCCATTGGTTTGACTTGCTGATGGGCTGCAGAGTCCTGACAGCATTACCTAGTGGGCATCCACATCCTTAGCTTTGCAACTCAAAATCTGGAGATTCAAAACTGCTACCTCTTAGCCACACTATTTGTGTGTTACAGCCTGGCATGCTCTTGATTAAAAACCCTCTGTGTATAGGTGGCTGGCTGGTTGGCATATCTGCATGAGTGTGTAGATAAGAGGTGGGCAAAATGTCATCCTCCAGATGTTGTTGGACAGCAACTCTCCAAAACCCTACTGAGCAGTAGCCCACAAACAACCAGAGGACCACTCTTTTCCCATCCCTCTAGAAACAAGGCAACAGGCAAAGAGTGACTGCCAGCCCAGATGCATCAGGATCTAGTCTTGTCTGTGAGAAAGAAATTGTGTTTTAATTTGTCACTCAAAATGGTCAACATGTCCAACAAATAGAACCATCCTTCCCTGTTTCACCTCCTCATCAACTACCAACTAAGGCCCAGTTTTCATTCCTTTTTGATACTGCAAAGTTCCCTAAGGATGCAAAGTTCCCTAAGGAAAAATAGAACCATCCTTCCCTGTTTCACCTCCTCATCAACTACCAACTAAGGCCCAGTTTTCATTCCTTTTTGATACTGCAAAGTTCCCTAAGGATGCTAAATATTTCCCTTTGAATGCTCTCTCTCTCATTCATGCCAGCAGCTGATATAGGCCAGGCCAAATTCTAGTTTTCCATGGTTTCAGTCAGGTCTTAAAGAAATCCCAATCATTTGTTATCGAATCTTCAGCACTCAAAACTGACAAGGTGCCCTTCCCACATCAACAAGCAAAGTGGAAACCCTGACCAAGTTTATATAGACAAGGAATCAGTGGAGCATAGCTCTGGAGAATGAGGAGGTGAGGGCGAAGGGGCCATGTTCATCTACCACAGCTGGAAAGGAATCCAGGTGGAAATTAATTGGGAGGATAGATGTAGATGGCTGGGTGTATATCTAGCAGGATGGAAATGTGGAAGATATGTATATAGAAATAAACATTATGTATAATACTCATAACAAGAGTCCATGCACCAAAGAGAAGAAAAAGTTTGCATTTGGACATGCTGTGTTGTGGAAGAAGAAGGGATATATTTTCTCCTCTGGATCTAGTGCTACCCCCATCGTTGTCATCACTGCTTTCCAAGCTGGATTTCAACAGCTGAGTGGGTGATGGGGCAGCCACGTTAAAGGAAGCAAGGCAAAGGCCCTTTGACAGGAGAATGATCCAGCAGGATTGCCAAGGGTAAAGACTGTGCCACTGGGGAGGGGGGGGTTAAGTAGTTACAGCAGAGAGGTGAGGAAGCGACTCGAAGATTGTACAGGTTTTGTGGAGGTTGGCATCCTAACTATGCATAAGTTATAAAGAATTAGGGTTAAAAGTTCGGCTGGATATATCAAGTTTAGGATTACATGGTCACACTGCAGCAGATGGGACTCGGAAAGGCATTACGGAGGGGAAATTTAAAGTGAGGATCTGGGAATGGGACGAAAACTGAGAACTGAAACGGTTATGAAGAATTTAGGTGAATAAATAGAAAGTGGGGGAAATGGAAAGGTGTGGATTCCTGATATTTTGTCAATTACAAATTTGCTTCAAAAAAAAAACACTTGAAACTCATGATCTCCTGAAGGACATTAGTTAACCTTTAATGTTTTAATTAAGGCTATGAGCAAATGTTCTTCCTTGTGTATTCATCAGTCTCTCACAAACTGGTGCCCTTCAACGGCCATGTTGGCTGGGCAGGATGGGAGCAGTACCCGAGCACCTCTGTAGGGCACCAGTTCAGGGAAGGCTGGCATAAACAGCAACAGGAAGGAAGACCCTTGGCTCAAGCCGGTTCAGAAAAGCTGTTCACCTACTTTTGTGGGGAAACCTTGATATCACACACTCTCTTATGATATTTTCTTTAAGTCTGGGGTTCCCTCTTTAATAATGCTCTCTGCCTTATCCATGAAATAAATCCAGCCTTATTAAATAAAGTATAACAAGGATCAACAATGCATGGCTGATTTGCAGGTGGAGTAAATCTGCTGTTCCAGATTGGGATCTCAACTTTCCTTTTACTGTATTATCCTGTTTCTCAACACTTCAGCAGCCATGTTTAGGAGGGGACACATTGAAACCAAAAAGCAGAGAGCAGGGCCTGTATGGCTCCTGGGCAAATTCCATGCACAAAATCCATTACTTCTCACAAAGAAAGCACATTTTCCTCCTTATCCATTTAAACTTTCCCCTCAGAATATGCCTGAGATAAAAGTTAGGCCAAATCGGTATAATTTGAAGAACATCCCATACTCCAGTTTCGTCTTGAAAGTTAGCAGGCCTCTACTTTTAACCATAGGATCACATTGTTAAGTTGCTTGCATACATTGATCAGTCACTGAAACTTAAAACTCTTGCTGAAGGGAATGTACCATTAAAGCCACCTAGAGTGGTCATATAGACCAGATGGGTGGAATATTAAACAAACAAACAAACAAACAAACAAACAAACAAATAAATAACATGGGAACTTCACAGAAAAAGACAGGGCGAGGTCCCAGATCTGTGTCCTTTAAGGACCAATGTTAGCCATGTAATAATTCTTAGAGCAACATACAAACAAACAAACAAACAAATAATATGGGATCTTCACAGAAAAAGACAGGGTGAGGTCCCAGACCTGTGTCCTTTAAGGACCAATATTAGCCTTGTAACAATTCTTACAGCAACACGAGGTACGGGTTGCTTTCTCTGTGAGAACACAGCCTCAGTTAAACTTGGGGATGTTCAAAAAGGTTAACAGGGACTTAAGCAGGACTTCTCTCTCAGCAAAGCTTTTTAAATCTCTCTCTCTCTTTGATATTCTAATCCAAGAGTGTCAGTGCATTCATTCTTCACTTGGCTTCATCCAACAGAGGCAGGGGTGGGGGGGAGGGAGGGAAGCAACAGATCGTAAGAGGCAATTAAAAGGATGTTTTACAGTAATCCTAAAGTCAAGGTTCTGGCTAGGGCTAGGCTTCAAGCTGAATTCATGCTCTCAGGAGCAAAGTTCAACAGGAAAGACTTGGGGATGTTTGGCAATCGGATAATTTCACTCTCACACTAGGGAGGTAGGGGAAGGGAGGATTCCCGTTGGGGAGAGGGGCAACCCTGTCGGGGAGAGAGGCAAGCCTGTGGGGGACAGGCTCCCCCGCCGTGTGGATGGATGTACGAAATCAGGGTTGATGAAGGTGAACCCCTGGAATTCACTCTGATCAATGCTTGCCAGGACCAGCTGGTCAGGGGGCGTCAGCGCTGGTGGTGCCCGTGTGAAAAACTTGTCGAAGTTTTCGCCACTCCGACCGCACTAGAGAGAGTCGGGGAGGTACAGGAAAAAGATAAGGGGAAACAAAGGGAGAAAGAAACGGGGAAATTGAAAAGAGAGAACAAAGAAGAGTTATTGCTCAGATTGCTTTTCCAATCCCAGCTCCTTCTCTTTTTAAAAAAAAATTCACTTGCCAAAGTTTTAAACAATTATGTTCATGGGCCACAATCCTATACAAACCTATAGGATATAAAGCACATTGTATTCAGCAAACAGTAAACATGTATACCAGTTTCCAACTTTGGGTCCTCAGAAGTTCTTGGACTCTGTCTCCCAGAAATCTGCCAAAACAACTAGTGGCTTCTGGGAGAACATCTGGGAACCCAAGCTCGGGAACCACTGATCTGTAGGATTGCACTATTAATGACACATGGAACAAAAGCAAAGGGAAGTTTGGTGGAGCCTTTAAATCTAACAGATTTAATGTAGTATGAAATTTCAGATGGTACAATCTGCTACTTCTGACACCATTAATAACATTTTTGACGTTAAAAGCCAAGCACCAATATTGAATTTTAAATTCTATTTTTTAAAAAAAAATCTCTAAGATTTTCAGTTTTTATTTGTTGCAATGCTGATTCTCAAGCAAAAATAGAAATGGAGAGGGGGAAACTGTATGCGACTTAGACATGGAACGCTGTTACCTTCCCACCGAAGTGGTCCCTATTTATCTACTTGCATTTGCATGCTTTCGAACCGCTAGGTTGGCGGGAGCTGGGACAAGTGACGGGCGCTCACTCCGTCGTGTGGATTCGATCTTACGACTGCTTGGTCTTCTGACCCTGCAGCACAGGCTTCTGTGGTTTAGCCCGCAGCGCCACCACGTCCCTATATCACCACCACGTCCCTATATACCATTAATAACACCACGTCCCTATATACCATTAATAACATTTTTGAAATTAAAAGCCAAGCACCGATATTGAATTTTAAATTCTATTTTTTAAAAAAAAATCTCTAAGATTTTCAGTTTTTATTTGTTGCAATGCTGATTCTCAAGCAAAAATAGAAATGGAGAGGGGGAAACTGTAAACATTAACATTTCAGAAATCTGAATTTGAGAATATGAATTCTTATTTGTATATCTACTCTTCTGGAGCAAGGTGGAAGAGTTAAAAATTAATCAGTCGTTAATTTTTCCATCTTGACTCAGAAGTGTAGATATAGGGGTGTTTTCATTAAATATGACAATGGAAAGTCAAGATATGCTTAATTTAAAGAAAACTTCCATGAGATGAAACACATATGAGATCAGTTGGGAGGCTATCAGGCGAAAGCAAGATTTTTTAAATGAGAAACTAAAAAATGGCATAGGAGAAGCAAATGTGGTCACATGGGGCACTGAATGAGAAAAAAACGATGGTAAAAACAGGGGCGGGGGAAGCTGGTTTCTCTTATATGTCCTTCTTGAAGAGGCTTGTATGAACAAACATGCAGGTGGCCCCTCATGCACTGAAGTGTCTTAGATAGGAATGGACAAATGTATGCGCCAGGAGACAGGTGCACGGTAGGAAACTTGACTACACATGTCACAATTTTGCGTAACAAGATATGTGTTTGTGTGTGTGTGTCTGTGTGTACACAATGTCAGCTTGTGCTTTAGTGAACAAATCAATGTCAGTGTCACAAACTGAAATAGATGAGCAGCAGCATGCTTACGCAAGAAGTGTGTAGCATCCTAGGAGTGAACCCAGCCATGCACAGAAAGCTGTAAGAGCGGAGAAGCTGAAGGTGCCAGAGTTCATTTAAGGACTGAAAGCTACTCACCGGCCTGGGAACAAATGGCGGGGGGATTTCCAGCTGTTCCAGTCTCTCCCAGTCCATCCAGCGGAAAAAGCCATGTTCCCGAATATCACGCTCCCCATCAGGCCCTGAGCCTAAGCGCTTCATTGGATGTTTGGTCAAGAACTAGGGAAAGAGAAAAAAGTTTGCTCCAATGGGAATAAGAGTCCTATCCAAGGCTTACAATGGAAGTTGTCATACACTAAAAGGATATATATTCCCAAATCCACATGTGTTGTTAGTAATGGAGGCAGAGCAACACCTGCAGGGGAAAACAGTGTTTAACGCCTTCTGGCTTGGCCGACTGTCCTTTCCAAATGCCCACCATAGCCATATTTGTTATAATCTGAGTTTGGGTCTAGTTTCAGACCCCATGTAGGGAAAAGCTTGTGAAAAATGTTCAGGGGAAGGCTTTTTCAGGCGAGAATCCGCATCTGTTGGGCAGAGTTAAGGAACCTTGCAAAGTAACCATTTCTTCCCTGCAAATCCTATTTCTCCTAGGAAGCCTGTGTTTCTCATCCCCATCTAGTTAAAATTTGCAGTGCAGCATCAGGAAATGTGAAATGGAGGCTTTCCCTGACAGGGTTCTGGCGCAATACTCACCCCCTTGCAGATAGAGACGGCTTCTCGGGAAAGAGATTTGGGATACGACACGGTGTGTTCCATAATTGACTGGAAGAGTTCATCTTCATCTTCTCCATCAAATGGTGGCTGCAGACCAGGAGAAAAGCCAAAATAAACAGGACAGAGTCATTTCTTGTCCGAAAAGACTCACCATGGGTAGGATATTCAGTCCATGCAATGTGTTTTGTCTCTTTGGGCTTGAGGAGCACACACAGGAACTAGCTACATCAAGCCACTTCATGCAAAATGCAGAAACACTAAAGAAGTGTGTGAGAGTGGGGTGTGCTTCCTTTTTTCAGACTCCTGGGTTTTGTGCAAAGGAGCTGCACTATTGCATGTGGATATCAATAAACAAGCGGCTTTGTTTCTCCGCTCCATGCCACCAATGGCTTATAGAAAGAAAAAACTATATACTGGTACCTCTCCCCATGCAACTCCTAAGATTCACAAGATTTTGGAAGTATCTGCAATTCACTTCATTTCATATTCCTTTCCAAGAATCAATGTGAATAGTTTTTTTCCTAATAAGAAGTGTGATCAGAAGTATGCTTTGCCTAGAACCAAATGGCACTAAATTCATTGGGATTTGTGTATAGTGTATAGGGACTTCAGCCTTACTCTACTCTAGTGCTCAATAACCAGAAGTCCTCCCCCAATGTTTTGGACCACAGCTCCCATTAGTCCCAGCAAACAAGGCCAGTGGTTGGACTTTATAGGAATTATAATCTAAAACATTTGGAAGGCACCAGGTTGGCTACCCCAACATTCTAGGATCCACCTCAAACACAAGATTTTTCAGTCTTGAGATCTATTAGAAACTACTCTACCTACAGCCAAACCCAGTCTGCTCTTATAAGATCCATTCTTCATGGAAACCAGTAGTATCAGTAATGTATCATTATAGCCAGCAGGAGGAACCTGTCTCCAAGATCCAGATATCTAAGAGGCCAACACAGACCCCCCATGAAAATATTGTGGGCACAGCCATGGGCACAAACACAAATGTGCACACAATTTACAAATATCAAGATCTCACCTCTGCTAAGATTACTCCTTTATAAACATTCTTTCAAAGTGGCCTCCTATTCAGATATGCAAACGAATCTCTCCCAAGATCTAGCTATCACTAATAAGGTAAGTTTCACTAAGATCCCATGTTCACTGATTCTTTGCCGACTATGAGGTATCGTGCCAGAATCAGGAGCCTTTCAAAGCTTGGGAAAGCTGTTTTTTCAGTAGGTTGGGGACTACAGTTGGTTTTTTAAAAAACTGTAGTTCAAAAAAGGTACTTTTTCTAAATTATACTTCCCCTAATGCTTAAGATATACCACTTGAGTTGGTTAACTGAAGCACACCTACCTGTCCAGCTAACATTTCATACAGCAGGACTCCATATGACCACCAGTCCACAGACTTCCCATACGGCTGATAGGCGATAATCTAAAGCAAAAAGATCCAATCTCTTCAGACTTTTAAAAATCCTACCTTCTCACCCATATGACTCCAACTAAGTAGCTTCAACACAATAAAAATAAAAAGTCTGAAAAGAGCAGTAACAGAGCTCAGCAGATCATAACTTCTTCTCATATAATGCAGTCCTCGACAATGTTTAAAAACTAGTAAAGAAGGTAAAAGGGAAGTTTCTCTTGGAAGCGGGTTACACAAAGTTTCCGTTTCACTCTCCATACTTCCAGTAAAGAAGATAGAATATGGAAAGTCTCCCACAAAAGCCAACCTGGCCACTGTTCACAACGACTAGCGGATTCTGAGCAGTATTATCCAAAAAATGACATTTTCCAATGTCTGGGGAAAGCCCACGAAATAGAGCCTCTACTGGCAACCAAGGGATTGGGGTGAGGGATGGGGTTTTCATAGAAGGTGTACTGTAAATCCAGGTACTTGACCGCTTCAGTCTAGAAGCTACAGTTCTTTCACAACTGGAGTTACACGCCCCTGTCAACAGCTGGATGCTGCATTCTGGGACAGCACAGTGAAGTTTCCAAGGGCTGCTCCATGCACAGAACAATGCAGTAATCCGGAGAAGTGGGATCTAGGATTCCTGGGGTCACCGGGAAAAGAATGGGGTCAAGTAAATATGCATATACACATTCAATACTCCTCTGTATTCCAAGGGCCAAACTAGCCACAATGGAGGAACTGATCAGAATTGTGAGCTGGCTTGGGCATTAAACAAGGAGCCCAATGAAGTAAGGCTAAAAAGGAGCCAGGGATCAGCTTCCTCACTCAACCACAAGCCTATTTTCCTGGGAAAGGTAAGAACCTAAACGTAAATAAACCAGATCTGGCTGTCTCTGGCCCTGGTAGTTTGAAGCCCAGTGTAGCATGGAGGGATTTGAAACCAGGACTCTAAGGCATTTAGAAAAAAAGAAACTTAACTATTAAGCTAAATGTGGCCTGGAAAGGGACATAGTAATTAGACTAGAAGGTACCTGAGTTTTCTTTAAAAGGAGCAAAGAGTCTGTTGTGCAATTGGGTGCAGAAAGGGTGGAGACGGGTGGGGTTCATACCTCTGGAGCAATGTAATCAGGTGTCCCACAAAAGGTACGAGTGGTGATACCAGGAAAAATGTTTTCTTTACACATTCCAAAATCAGTAATCTTAATGTGACCGTCAGCATCCAACATTACATTATCCAGTTTCAAATCCCTGGGCAGGAAAGAGAAAAACAAGCAATCAGAATGCTGTTCTCCCAGCAGAGGGCGCCACAGTACATCCAGATCCATGGCGCTCCAGAGGACAACCTGGATCTGCCCATTAATTAAGTTCATCATATTAGAGGAGAAAATGAAATGTAAGAGGCCTAGGAGATTACATGGGGTGGAGGGGAAGGTGAAAACAGGGTGGCACCCAGAGCCTCTCCACTGCCAGAAAAACAGCAGAGTGGGATTTTGTATACAGGCAGACTGGAAAGACTGGGATCAAGGCATTTACAGTCTGCTTTGGAAAGGCATGTGCTTGGAATAACAGTTATGGGCTCACCTGTAAATAATTCCCTTGTTATGCAAAAAGAACAGGCCAATTGCAATTTCTGCAGCATAAAACCTGTAACACATTAAAGAAAAAGTGTGACGGGAGAGCAGTGGATGGGGAAGAAAATGGCACGTTTCTCGTTAATAATAATAACATCATCAGAGGAGTCTATGGCTGATGTAATGTCTGCTGTTCACACTATCTTGGAAAGACACAGGAAGCCAAGCTATTCCAGGATCAGGAATCTCGTTCACACATTATTTTTCTCCCAAAGCAGATTCGAATATTCACATCAGAAACGGTATTTGTGAAATTCTAACGTGAGATGACAGCGAGAATACTTTTCATTTGGGTAGAAGTGATAAGAAGGTTGCACAGAGACTGGCTTCCTTTTTTCTGTGCCCAGTTTTATTTATTTAATTTAAAGTCCTTCTTCTAAGCCAGCACTGACATGTAACCAGGGCTGTGTCCCTGCTGGCATGAGCATTAGGACTCAGATATTAGCACTAGTCTTGAGTCTTCAAGCATTAACAATATGCAGCATCACAAGCAGTAACTCTTCTGAACTTAGGGATTTCTGGTTTATTTAGTGCTATGAATGCCTGTGGCATTACACAAAGAAAAACAAAGTTAGGTCTTGCCCCAATACTTCACCCTCTAAAATTTGACATACAGAAGGCAACAATTCCGGTGGCGGGGGTGCTGAAGGCTGAAACGGTTGTGGGGCCAGCATGCCAGCAGTGAACAGGGACACCCCTCTTCACCTCTCTCTGTCTCTGTCACTCTCTTTACACCAATTATCCCCCCCCCCCCCGTCCATTGGGCAGCCAGAGAACATCCAGTTCACTCTTGCAAAGCCCTGAACTGATAGCTTGCAGAGGGATTTTGAAATACTATGGCAAAAGGCAGGATGACATCAGGCCAAAGGCAGAGTTTGACCATCATATAGTGGAAGGAGAGTGCAGGGACAGATAAATGGGATGAACAGGCATTCACTTCTCCAAAATGTTCACTGAGGAGAGACGTAATGTGCTGAAATGGTATGACTGTCCAAAGATTCCCTACCTTGACTCAGATCTCATAAGCAACCTTGCCAGTAACCATCTCTCACCCTAACCTGCCTCAGGGTTTTGAGGCAAGAGGATGTGCAACTGACTATTGTTTGGATTCAACTGACCATTCATAATAGTAATAATCTTGTGTCATCAAGTTGATTTCCACTGATGGCGACCCTACCCAGGGTTTCCTAGGTATAGAGCCCTAAGAAGTGGGTTACCCATTCCCTTCTTCTGGGGTCCCTCTGGGACTGTGCAGCTTGCCCAAGGCTACACAGGCTGGCTTTTCTCCCATGAGGCATAGTGTGACACTGATCTCTTGACCTATAGAGACTCAACTCAATAAGCTATCTATCCAGGAACAAAAAGAGAAAAGGAACAAATAGTTCCCAGTCAAGTTCCCCAGAAGACTCACGTACATAGCATGTGGTTCCTTGAATTTCCCAACCTGCTGGATATGATACATCAGGTCTCCTCCATTGACATACTCCATAACAAAGTAAAGCCGGTCCTTGAGGAGAAAAAACAGTATATGTCTGTTATTATTTGACGGAGTAAAGTCTCCTTTTAGACTGCATAAGATCCTTCCTTCCCTCCCCTTCTCTGCCAGCCTGGGTAGATAGTTGGACTGCTGTGGCTATGAAATCTCATTAATGCCAGTTACCAATTCAAAGATATTCTGATTAACTAAAAATATGTGTCTTTTTCTTTTTCAAAAGAATAATTTACAAAAATTGCACGTGGCAAATGCAATCTTAGACAAACCATTCCTTTTCCCTCAAATGCTGCTTCTTCAGATAATGATTGTTTTGATGCATGCAGAAACACATCATCAGAACAACAAAGCCATGTGCCCCTCTCTTTGTTTGCTTTGCAACTATTGTTTTCCCTCGCGTGCACATTTATGAGGATACAATGCATTTATTTAGTCCATCAATTAGCAAACCATCATACAAATATATGGCTAAAGATTTCCTTCATCAAGTGACTCAGCCAGAGAAAAATTACCGCAGTTTGGAAAGTGGAATGCAGCTGGGTTAGGAAATGTGGGCGCTCCCCCATGGCCAAGACCCGTTTTTCCACCATGGTGCATTCCACATCATCATCCTGGATGATCACATCCTTCTTCAGGATCTTGATGGCAAAGAGCTCATCAGTTCCACGGCGCTCTGCAAGCATGACCTGGGGGGGGGAGAGAGAGAAAATTACAAAGCCTTGGCTCTTTGCACTGAAGACCCTAACTCCTCTGCTGTTCTTACAACCCATGAGATGAGGTGTGGACAACCTAATATCACAGGGCTGCATGTCTCTCCCGCCCTGACTTCATGCTGCCCACAGCATAATTTCAAAAGTCTTTTCTGCAAGTTATTAATTCCAGTCGCTTCAAGATCTATCTGTCCCTGATCCCGGAGTCTGCTAGAGCAGTGGTTCCCCAACCTTGGGCCTCCAGATGTTCTTGGACTTCAACTCCCAGAAATCCTGGCCAGCAGAGTGGTGCTGAAGGCTTCTGGGAGTTGTAGTCCAAGAACATCTGGAGGCCCAAGGTTGGGACCACTGTGGAAGAGGAGGTGGATAGGTAGGGAGTTCTTCGGGTGGTGAGTGCTTTGCTGTGCCACATATGAGTGCTGCTGAGTGAAGGGCCAGACCCCCCAAAGTTTCTCCCAGCCGTTTGGGCCATGGGTTGCAAGCTATGCACCGGGGTAGCTTCCGGGTGATGTTAGTGCTACGCTACTTCTTGCCCTGACGCTCACCCCCTTCGCTTCCTCTGATATCCCCCATTTGCTTTCATCAGATCTAACTGTAATTTGTAGAGCAGGGAAGAACCATGGTGTCACATTCCCTACACACATACCTACAGTTTTGGATACAGGCAGGTGAGTCGTTTTTTAAAAGAAAAAAAAGAAGAAGTAAATTCAGAGAAGGAAGCAGCAAAAAATAAGCCAATGGGTTTGGGAAGGACAAAGAGCTGTGGGAACCCATGGAGAAACCTGTGTTACGTAAGAGGAACACTTTCAAGATATCAAGGGGTGTGTGCGTCTCCTTAAAATCAATGCTTAACGGGGAACTTAAAAGAGTACAAATGTCCCATTTGGAAGAGCCATGAATAGTGGGATGATGCAAGTGCTGCAGGTAACCTTACCAAAGGCTTCAAAGAAAACAGATATATTTTTTCTTACACACCACAACATCCAGTGGGATTACACCCAGAAGCATATAAAATGCCACCACAGCTGTGTTTGCAACCCAACCCTTCCTTCTAAACGCACAGTTGTCTAAAAGCAAGCCCACCTTGCCAAAACTGCCTTTGCCCAGCACCATGAGAAAGTTGAAGTCAGAGATGTGGAAGCGGTTGACGCCGAAGAATCCACCCCGCTTGGTGTCCGTGGGGCTCGGGGATGGCGACGAAATGGGGCCGTGGCGAACCTTCTGCAGGGCACAAGCGGAGGGAAGGGAGGAAGACACAGGCAGAGAGGGAGGTGAGGTGCCCTGCTGACTCAAGGAAAGGGGACCAAGAACTGATACTACCACTTCAGTAACATCTGTGCCCAGGAAGGAAAACATATCCCAGATGTTCACCCTTTCCTTGATTTTGTTAAAAGGAACCCTAGTCAAACATTCCCAGGAGTTTGGTAACAGTTTGAAGAAATGGAGCACTAGCTGTTTAAAATACACATTCTTGAAGCAAGAGTTGTGTGGACCCTCTGGGAAAGCAGGGGCAGATTGGCACACAATAAGCAGGTGAAGTGCCGTGCCTCAGTGGCTCATGCTCATACTGGCCATGCAGAAGGTCCCAGTTCCAGTTAAGCCTTCCCGTTATCAAGATCTGAGGGCTGGGGAAAACCTCTGAGAATTGCTTCAAGTCTACATGAACAACACGGAACAAAATGGGGAAATGGCCTAAGTCAACGTGAGCTGGGGAGCTGCCCCAAATTGGGAGGGAAAAAAATCAAACCACCAAAAAAAAAATACACCCCTCCAAGCTGGTCTTGTCTCATCACTCACAGGGACTCAGGCTTTCCTGTTCTAACCATTGGCACATACTACCCAGGGCCCACCTTGCCCAAGAGAGGAAGAGATCTGTCCCAGACAGAAAAAAGAAACCCCTTCTTCTCCATGGAAAGCCAAATTGGCTCATAGGATTCAATCTATAGCTATGAGTGAGCACAAAGAGGGTGGGTGGGTGTATCCATGGCTGTTCCCTAAGAACAGAACCTTCAACATGTGGTGAAGTGTTCCTCCCTGCCCACCACAAGGCAGAGAAAAACAAGAAACTGTTGTCACCCTTTGGCTGAGAGCAGCCCAGTCTTGCTGGCTGGACACTCTTGGGGTAGACAGACCTCTTGCTTGACTGAGGGTGGTGTCCCCACCCTTCACCACAAGTTGTTTCTTTCCCCCTATATTATGACAGAAATCAGCCCTCAAATTGATTGTTATTCTTATGGCCAGCCAAAAGTAGTGTCCTCCATCCCATCTCAATGCCTCGAGAGAAAGCTGGAAGAAACAGAAGGAATTCTGATACCTCATAGAGCTCCAAAGGAAAGTTGCAAGCCTGGAAGAGAAAAAAAAAATACCAGGACTTATGCAGATGGCAAAACAAGCTCTCTCCCAACCCTTATCCTAGCTGGAAATAACCATTTCAGGCTAAATACCAAATGTACGAGCCAGACCACCACCCGCTCACCCTCCCACCGGATCCTAAAAGTTAAAAGTAATCCACCACTATTCCCTCCGGCACTGCTCCTTTCTGGACAGCAGCACCCCCAGCTGCAAAGTTGTGTGGTCTTTGTGGTTAGGCTGGACACAACACAACGCAGTGAGGAAACTGGGAGGGAAATGTCAATTCAAGCACTGCAAGGGAGCCATGAGGTTACCTCAAATTTCTGCAGCAGCCCACAGTTTTCTGCATCAGCCACAGGGACACTATAATACTCGCCCTCTTCCTGATTGAGCAATTTGTACCTGGGACAGCAACGCAGACAGGGACACCAGGCAGGGAAGAAGAAGAGAAGTGGACGGGTGAGAGGAGGGAGTGATGGAGAGATGGATGGTGGAGAGGACGATAGAAGTGGGTGGGAATTGGAGAGTACAGCAAAAGGGGTGAAAATCATCATGAGAGAGATTTTGATGGGTAAGATAGGATAGGATAAGATAAGACAAGATAAATATAGACAGATTAGATAGATGAACAGAGAGAGAGAGAGAGAAAAGAGAAAGATGACAGATAAAATAGATAAAAGATCAGGTAAGTAGGCGAGTGAGTAGATTAGAATGATAAACAGGCAGTTTGGATTAGATAGATAGATAGATAGATAGATAGATAGATAGAAAGAAAGAAAGAAAGAAAGAAAGAAAGAAAGAAAGAAAGAAAGAAAGAAAGAAAGAAAGAAAGAAAGAAAGAAAGAAAGAAAGAAAGAAAGAAAGAAAGAAAGAAAGAAATGGAGCCATCCAGGCAAACAGATAAAACCCCAAAAAGACACCAAGACGCAAGGGAAAGAGAGAGTAAATGAGCAACTGGTGGTCCAATAAATTGCCCATTATTCTCTTCCATCTGTATTTCTGCTCCCTAGGTTTCACCTTACCAGCCATCCACAGGGCCTTTGAAAAGTTCGGAGACCCCAAAGGACATGGCTCCCATGAAATCGTTGCGGGTGGTCCGGTCCCAGTCCCATACCTCAATGGAGAGACGCCGCTCCATGTCACCTGGCTGTAGGTTGCTGGTCCAGGTATAAAGGACAGATTAGGATTAAAATGCAAATGCCAGAAAACTCCCCAAAGATTTTCACACCCAGCCTCTTCATTAAACACACATTCAAGAACTTACAAAATGAAGCTTTCATTCCACACTGGATTGAGGGTGGACCGAACTGTCCGGGTCTTTTGCTTTGTTACATTCTTGGGGTCAGGGATCAGCTTGAGTTTCACATAGGGATCCGAGAGACCATTGGGATCCATAGGGATCAAGTTAAGTGCCTCACCAACTGATAATGAAAAAGAGGGAGGGAGAGAGTGGGAGACACTGTTAACATCCAGCAGAGTTAGTATCAGAGGAGAGAGCATGAGTGGGCAGGAGACAGACCTCCTGCCTGCCTAAATGGGTTGAGGGAGAAGGTGCTCCTGGCTTATGTCCTGGGCAACTTGTCATGGGCCACAAAAGTGGCTATGGCAGCAACTGCTACCACCCTCGTACGTGGGAGAAACGTTAAGGGAGCTAGTAGAAGAGTAGGTGAGGAAAATCCCTTTTGTCAAGAAAACTGCTGCTTTTTTCTTGCCACCTACATGTTGGGTTCGAGAACAACAGAGAAAGGGTGAGAAAACATGCCAGGGAAGGTGTGAAAAAACAGAGGCGGGGGATGTCAAGTTCTGCAGCTCATAATAGAACCCAGGCGTCCTGGCTCCCGGCCTCCACTAACTCAATCAATCCCACTCTTCAACCCCAGCCAGATCCCGGCCTCCTGTTCTCTTGTTATTTGTTCACTGACTCAATTTCACAAGATTTCCTTCCCTCCTCAACGGAGACCAAGTGAGCCTCTGAGGCCTGGGCCCCACCATCGGGGGGGGGGGAGAGCTGATTTCCAATAATACTGAAGGAAAAGAAGAAGAATGGGTTGGATCCAGATTTCAAAATAATTGCAGCAGACACAAGAGAATCGTAAGTACATAATAACTCAGGGGGCTCCTGCATTGGTCATTTAACTCTGCAGTTTGCATCAAATCAAATTAAAAACCATCAACTACACAATGCAAAGCTAAGCGCAGGGAAGCCCAGAGGAGAATTGTCTTTTTTTTAAAAGTTCATCTGGAAAGCGTGGTTTAATTTTGCTCTGCTATGGTGTTGCTTGTTTCATTGCTATATGTCCTGTGGGATCGCCTAATCAAAATACAAAGAGGCACTCATGAGGATGTGAGTTCCCCTCAACTGAGTGTCTTTTGTCTCCAAACAATTTTCGCTTTCCTTTAAAAAGCTTTATTTATTTTTTATTTAAAATATTTTTACCCCACCTTTCTCCTTCAAAGGATCCAAGGTGGCTTACAAATGTGTACAAATGTGTACAAGGTGATCCTAAGTGTACAAATATTTTTAAAAAATTAAACAAGGATCATCTTAAAAATTGCAAATAAAATCAACACTAAAAACACATTTAAAAGGAACACAGCACAAAACTCCTCTCAGATTGCTAGTCACTAAGAAAAAGCCTGTCTGAAGAGAAAGGTCTTCATCTACTTCCAGAAGGACAGCAAAGATGGGGCCAATCTGGTTTCCCATGGGAAGGAATTCCAGAGTCTGGGAGCAGCAACAGAGGAGGCCCTCTCCATGTCCCCATCAAACGCATCTGCTGTAAAGTCAGCACTGAAACAAATTATCGCTAAGTCACTTGGGAGGGGGGGAAATCTTAAAGTGGAAATTACCAGTTAGCACCTTGTCAGATGAATGGTGCCAGCGGTTAGCCCACAACTAGAGTGAAAAGAAACTTGTTTCTGTCTTTCATGAGAAATGTGTTGTAGTCGTTCATAAGGACTGCAGTAAATCCACCCACAATAAAAACAGGAGGGACCTTGATATTACTGCTGTGCATATTTAACCACCGACAGACAGAAAATAGGGCAATCCTGTTTTTTGCCATTCTGAATTCCCATTGTATTCAATGAAACTTATTCATGAGGAAATGTGTACTGAATTGCAGCCTATAAGAACAGGGTGGGAAACCTATAGTCTTCAAGATGCTGCTGGAGACCAATTCCCATCTTCCTTGCTCATTGGTCCTGCTGGGTGGGACTGATGGGGAGTTTTATTCTCAAGACATCCTTGATATGGACACTTGTGCTCTACTACATTAATGACAAAATCAGTCTTTCATTCAGGGTTTTGTTTAACTCCCAGCTGAAAAAAATAACTGTGTTATACACTGAAGAAACCTGACCTGACATTACCCCCTTTGGGACTGATGGGGAGTTTTATTCTCAAGACGTCAGTTTGGGATGGGGGCAAGTTCCCCACCCTTGATATGGACACTTGTGCTCTATTACATTAACGACAAAATCAGTCTTTTCATTCAGGGTTTTGTTTAAATCCCAGCTGAAAAAAATGACTGTGTTAACCTGACCTGGCATTATCCCCATTTCATGTATCATCATCATCTTAGAACTGAAGAGCTGTAAGTGACCCTATGGATCATTGAGTCCAGCCCCTGTCAAGGAGGCCCAGTGGAGCATCAAATTCCCAACCTCTGGCTCCACATTCAGAGACATAAACCACTGAGCTAACCAGCAGTTCTGTATGTTGGATCTTACCATGAAAGACAGTGAACACCAGCATAAAAGCAACAGAAGAGCTCCCCTCTTAGCTGTCAGAGGGCCTAGGCAAAGGAAACCATCATAATTTGCTAGCTAAAAGGAATAAGAAGTGAAGCCAGACTATTTTGTTTTTTTCTGGAGAGAGCATCCTGGAGCTGTGGGGCCACCACAGAGAAGGCCCTGCTCTTGGTTACCTTCCACCTAAACTCTCACATGGAAGCACAATTCTTCCACTAAAAGATGGTAGCAAATGAGCAGCCGGCAGCAGAAGCAGACAGCCACATTCCTATTACTTCCTCCCCTCCCACTCCCATGGACACAAATTCCCTTACCGGTCACACGGATTTCATCACTTCCAAATGTCTCTATTTGGAGTTTCAGACGTCCCCGGCGTTCTGTGTGGTCCACACCACACAAACTGGGCACACAATGGACGCAGCGCTTATGCACATTCATCTCACAACCTGCAGGGGTGACAACTGTTATCTAGGACCAGGTAACTTTACATAGCAGCATTGTTCTGTATTGAGTCTACAACATTTAACTCTATTAATTGGTTGAATTTAACATTTTTTTTAAAACTGTCATTTTCTAAAACTATGCCTTCCAAATAATCAGGAAGGGTTTTCCCCCTAAATTTATTATTTTTGTACAATAAGAGGTTATCACATTCTACATTCAAAGAAGCACTATTACTCTGCTGCCTTGTTGTTGTTACATGCTGTCAAGTTATCTCCAACCCTATGAAAGATCTCCAAAATGTTCTGTATGCAACAGCCCTGCTCAGCTCTTGCAGACTGAAGCCTGTGGCTTCCTTTACAGACTCAATCCATCTTATATTCAGTCTTCATCTATTTCTGCTGCCTTTTACCTTTCCCAGCATTATTGTCTTTTCCAGAGGATCTTGTCTTCTCATGAAGTACTTAAAAGTAGGACAGCCTGTTTCACATTTTTTCCTCCAGAGATAGTTCAGACTTAATTTGATCTAGCACCCATTTGTTTGTCTTTCTGGCAGTCCAAGGTATCCGCAAAGCTCTCCTCCAGCACCACATTCAAATGAATCCATTTTTATCCTGTCAGCTTTCTTTATTGGCCAGGTCTCACACCCATACATGGCCATCAGGAATACAATAGAGTGTATGGTCTTGTTCTCCAATGACACATTCTTACACGGCTAGAATTGTTATTTGTAAACTTGCATGCTGCCTGTAATTTGTTTGACTAGATGGCAGTTGTTTGTTACCGTTGATCTGTTCAATTGGGTTGTAGATGGGAAATCCTACTTTCTACTGTTTTGCCACATTTACAAAAAGTTTCCAGAAAGCAGAAACAGCCTAAGAAGGAGAGGGCAGAACCAAAAGCTTTATCCTCAACCCTGTTCAGTTATTTAGGCTCTTGTGGTAACACTACTTGGAAACAGGAGTTGTCTCCTCTTCAGACTGCGCTGTTTTTGTGATTAAAGAAACAATGGCAAGGTGGAGCTAGAGTGCTCCTATCATAAATTGCTGGTTCCATATACAAAAGAAACACATGAAACATTGGGTTTTTAAAATTAATTTTTGCTTGGGCACTGAGAATTCAAAAACAGGCATCTTCTGCCTGCAGCCCCCAACGTTGTTGTCTATTCTAACTGTAGGATTTTACCAACTCATAATGCTGTGGATATGAGACACAACTCATTTTAACTGAATTGAGGCCATGCTGCATAATATATCCACGGCTTTCTCAATCTGCTTCATAAGACTAATTGACATTTATGGAGCATGTCTCCTTAGAGCTCAGAAAATTGCACACATACCATCTCAGCCCCTGGTGCGCAACAGACAAGTAGGAAAACCTAGTACATTTTTTTCCAAGTCATGGTCCTCCAGATGTGCTTGACTACAACTCCCATCACTCACAATCACCACAGCTGTTCACTGTATGGGTTCAGGGCAATGGGTATGGTAGTGCACTATCTCTGGAGAGTAGTCTGGAGAAGTACACTTTAGTACTGCTATTACTCCCACACTGTTATAGCAACAGTGGCTTACCTAAGTCTAGCAAGTACATTCATTTGAAATTTGAGCAGAGTTTAAATATAATACTAAAATAAAGGAATTCGAGCTAACTGGATGGCACAGGACAACAGCAGCAATGTTAAATTCTTTACTTTCCCATCACACAGAAGGAAAGGCAGCAATGTGTTTAGAGTTTTGAAAGTAAGGGTTTAAAGACAACACAAACACATTTTGTATCTGTGAAATCATTATCAGGGATAAAAAACCAGCCATACACCACTCCGTAAGAACTAGCTCTGTGCAAGGGATCCATAACTTTGGCACTTTAGATGTGGCTAAAGCAGAACCAGCAGAAGACTTAGCCAGCAAATCCCCAAATATCAGGTTTCTGGAATCTAGGGGCCAACAACACCTCAGGTGGGAAACATTGATTTACCAGAACACACGGCTCTTTGGGCACTTTCAAGTACACTTTTTAAAAGCTGAAAACTAAGCTCTGCCTAAAAGTATAAGCTTTTAACCAAAGGCTCTTCATTTCCCCCTAGCCTTAAATTGCCCCGAAGGCTAGGCAGATGATAGCAACTAAAGATGCAATCAGATGGGCATTTAGCTCTCTGTTTGGTCCACTGCAGGAATGGATTGGTTCACCCCTTTTTATGAAGATCACATGACACAACCTCTGGAGGAACCAAATCGTACTCAGAACATCCCTACTTGCACCATTTTGAGTCCTGTTTTTACTTTTTTTGGTGTAGGCTCACTCTGGTTTAATCTGTTTCCAGCACGTGTGATCCCTGGAAATGGATCAAAAGCAAGCCTTCTGGCTGTCAAGATTCCTTCCAGCTTATGAATGTATTTATTATTTATTAATTTGTTTATTACATTTGTATCCCGCCTATCTAGTAACATAGCACTACTCTGGGTGGCTATAATTAAGCGAAATCAGTTACCGGAACACCTAGGCAATGGCAAAAAAAGAGAGCTCAAATTAAAACATGGGCTCTCTTATCTGGCCTATAAGGCCACCTAGAGTGGCCTTATAGGCCAGATGGGCGGGGTATAAATCAAATAAATAAATAAAATATTTCCAGAACATTCAGTGAGAATGTTACAGGTAGAGGATGTTGCCAAAGCTCTCCTTGAAAATCTCAGTCTTCACATGTTTCCTGAAGGACAGAAGGAGGGGAGCCTGGGAGACATAATTAGTCAATGTGCTCTAGTCTATAGCATTGCAGCTGCCACCGAAAAATCCCAGTTCAAAGCTATGGTTTTTCCAGTACTGATGTATGGAAGTAAGAGGGCTGACCACCAAAGAATTGATGCTTTTGAACTGTGGTGCTGGAGGAGGCTCTTGAGAGTCCCCTGGACTGCAAGGAGAACAAACCTTTCCATTTTGAAGGAAATCAACCCTGAGTGCTCACTGGAAGGACAGATCCTGAAGCTGAGGCTGCAATACTTTGGCCATCTCATGAGAAGAGAAGACTCCCTTGAAAAGACCCTGATGTTGGGAAAGTGTGAAGGCAAGAGTAGAAGGGGACGACAGAGGATGAGATGGTTGGACAGTGTCATCGAAGCGACCAACATAAATTTGACCAAATTCTGGGTGGCAGTGGAAGACAGGAGGGCCTGACATGCTCTGGTCCATGGGGTCACGAAGAGTCGGACATGACTTAATGACTAAACAACACAAGCCATGAAGCCTGGGTAGATCAGGTGGCCCAGGTAGACAATATTAAGTCATTTCCAATATTGTGAAGTGGCTTAATAAGCTGGAGTTTCCGATATCATGAAGTGACTTAATAAGAGAGCCTCTTCAGGATATTGGCAATATGAACACTTCGCCTACCCCTCCCTGGAATTAATTAATTAACAATGATAATCCAGTGACTGAAATCCAGTAGTAAGTTGCAGCTAGAGTAGGCCCTCAGTGGGGATTTGGTGAGTCAGCAACTATGTAAGTTCCATTAATTCAATGGGCCTACTTTAATTGCAGCTTACTACTAGATACCAGTTACGTTAATTAATTAAACATCAACAGCAATAACTTCATATCCCCACTTCAAACGTTTAACACCAACAAATTAATTTTTAAGCCTAATATTCAAAGCTGTGAATATGAGCAGGCAATATCCTGTTAAGACTATGAGCCGCTACAACCTAAATAAGGCTTTATAAGCCGAGGCTTTTTGTTCTGGAAAGAGAGCCAATTACCACAGTCATTCTTTATGGTACCACAGCATCCTTTTGCTACAAAAGGCAAGACAACACCTGGAAGGAGAAAAAAAATTTACTCACAGGTGCATTTCATCCCCTGGTGAACCAGGCCATAGAGGAGCGAGCCACAGTGATCACAGAAGGTCGGGCTACTATAGCTATGGATTTTGAACTTATGCTTGTTCCGGGGATCCTGTAAAAGAGGAAAACCCACAGACATACCGTACATCATCAGCAAAGAGGGAACCTTGCATATGACATTCTAACAACCAGCCACCATATGGAACTTTCCATTCCAAGAATTATAATTTTATTAGAGGAACCTTAAGCCCAACCTAGAAAGTATATTCAGTTCATGCTTTGAAGCAGAGCTGCTTTAAGAGGGAAAAAATCTGTTTGCTTCTTTTAATCTAATGCAATCCACATTTGGGAGTCTGGCCGTTTTTTGTAATTGGTCCACTGGGAAACAGTGGGATTTTATTTGCATGTCTGATATTTTAGGCACATCGCTTTGAATGCTTGGTAAGCAGGGAAGAACCACACTGTAATATGAAGAGGTAATATATGTTTGCCTGTCACCTCGCCCTTAGAAACTCTGTCCTGCATTTTAGACACTAGGTGTCAGAATGCTCCACTGTTAAGTGCCGTGTGAAAGCCAATGCATGGTTCTGAGTCCAAATCCCCCATTGATCTACAGGTATGAATGACGTTCTCATGAGTGCGTTCAAGGTATATAAACAACTTTGAGTATTTGTGAAAAGAAGGGGCATAGGTTATACTCTCAAACTGCCAAAAATGGCTTTCATATAGGGATTTTCTTTTAAAGATTCACTTTATTTTATCAGAGGTGGGGAGTTTTTTGGTATTTGTTTTTCAAATAGCCATAGCATCTGCCTTAATGTGAATATTCAGCTTTATGGTGTGCGTCTGCTGCAACTGACTGTCGTTTCAGACTTGTGGCTATTATATATTTCATTCTGTATATATTCCAGAGAATGAATGTGCACGCTACCAGGCTCGAACAGCCTAAGCTGCTTTATACAGAGCCAGCATATGAGGTTATTAATTTCTTGGACTAAAACCCCCACACTCCCCTAGCCAGTATGGGAACTGCATTCTCACAACTTCAGGAGGGTCTCGTCCTACTCTCCAGCCCTGCCTGTCTAAACAGATGGGGATCAAGTTATCTCGCCATCAGCACCTGCCCACCATCTTATATGAGTGATCTGCCCTTCTTTTAAAACAATTCATTTGGGAGCAGGGCAGAGAGAGCCTTTTTGCTCACAGGAATTAGTGCTGGTGGAGATATACCAGTCTCTACTGTGGCACGCCTTTAAATGGACACTAAAAAGTTGACTATATGATTGCCAGGATGTTCTCTAAATTGTGTGGTTTTAGAGCTGAAATTATTTATTGTATCTTATTGTTTTCACTGGGCAATATATTACCTGCTTTACTGTTAACTGTTGCGTCACTAGTTATTAATGCCATTGTCATGATATTTAATGACTTTAAAATTTATTTTATATTGTTGAACAGTAGATTAGAATTCTAGGAATCATACAAATATTTTAAATAAGGTGATTGTAGTAGTAGTAATTAATACTAATACTAATACTAATACTAATACTAATACTAATACTAATACTAATACTAATACTAATACTAATACTAATACTAATACTAATACTAATACTAATACTAATACTAATACTAATACTAATACTAATACTAATACTAATACTAATACTAATACTAATACTAATACTAATACTAATACTAATACTAATACTAATACTAATACTAATACTAATACTAATACTAATACTAATACTAATACTAATACTAATACTAATACTAATACTAATACTAATACTAATACTAATACTAATACTAATACTAATACAGCTCTACAGAATTTCAGGCAGAATTCATTCCCAGTACAGTATTTGTTACTGAATAATTGCATGCCCTCAAGTCTTTTGGCAACCGTTTTGAGGGTCTTCCAGATAGAGAATACGCAAAAGGGCTTTACCATCCCCTTCTTGTGAGGGTTCCCTGGGACTGTGCAGCTTGCCCAAGGCCACATAGGCTGGCTCTACCTGCAGGAGGCACAGTGGGGAATTGAACTCCCAACCTAAACCTCTGAGCTATCCAGCCAGCATTTGTTATAGCCATATCAAACAAGATGTCTTTTTAAAAAGTCTATAGTGTGTGGCATGCATCTTTTAAAAAAAGAAGAACATAAACAGAAGCTATGTGGGACTAAACCTAGCTCATAATGTGTTTGAGGTGGATGTTAACTCTTCTTCTCCCTCCTTCCAAAAAAAAGACAGTAGCATAAAAACATCAACATTAGGGCACAGAAACATGAAATGTCTTGAGCAAACCAATAAAACAGAGAAAAGCATAGGGGAGCAATCTCTCCTCCTCCCCCCGGATCCTAGGCATCCAAGGTAGTGGGGTTGGTGGCTGCCTTCATACACAGATACATATCTCCCCAATACACAAACCCTGGTCAAGACCACTAAACGGAGGAACAAGAGAAACCCTGACTGGGATCAATGGGGCTGAAGGGAGATTAAATCTAGCCATTTTGAGCAGGATCACTGGGGCAGGAAAGAGTTTTACCTTGTCCCCCCCTCCACACCCAACAATGTTGCAGGATCCCTGGCTCTCTGGCAGGAGAGTGCGGTTAACTCCTCCCACAATTCCAAGCAACATTGCGGGTCCATCACTAAAAATCACTGTTTTTGCATGTAAGAAGATTTTGAACCTGTGCATGGGGTGCCAAGGGTTTCCCATAAAGGACACACAGGCAGCAGACTGCATAGCAGTTTGACTTGTACATCTTTCCACAGTAAGGCATATGTGGGCACATGGGTTACAAACATGGCAGCCTCTGGAGTTGTACAATATGGGCTTCTGCCTCTGCATCTGAGACCACATGCAGAGATGGTTGGGTCAATATTTGCAACAGAAGGAGCAAAGTCAAGGAAACAAGTCCTCCTCTCTCTCTATTTTTTTTTTTTTTTGCTCCTTTCTAGGCCAAGGACAACATAAATGGGACAGTGTCAGCTGCTTGAAAACATTGGCTTCTTCTGTCAGCTGTATAAATAGCAAAGAAACCGGGACGCTCACCTGGAGCGGCAGAGGAGAAGCCCCAAATCCTGGTTGCTTCCCAAGCCCTCCCTGTCATCCTCTGCCCATCGGAATTCCTCTGGTCTCTCTGAAAACCCAGGAGGAAAGCTGTAGGAAACGTGAATGTCACTTACATCTGTCTGGGGTCCTTTCCCAGCCCCTGGACACTCGAAAGTGACAAATTCGTGGCATCTCTTGTGGAGAACAAAGCTGCACACTGAGAAAGGGAACAGAGAAGGGGAGAAAGGTTTACGGGAGAAGAATAAGAGCAATATAAGGGGCCAGGGGAAGAGGGGAGAAATGGAGAGAAAAGTCAAGGAAAAAACAAGAAAGGGAAAATGAAATATATGATCTTTTATACCAGAGGTAACCCCATGTCTGGAGCATACACATCCCAGATCTTTTACAGTAGAAAATACAAGAACTGAAGTTATTGTTTCCACCCATAAATTTATCCAGTGCAATCCTATTCCTCCCAGCCGGCAGTAGCTCTCCTAGGTCCTGCCACAGGATCATTTTTGTAAAAACTGGAGTCGAAAGGACCTGTGCTTGGAAATTTCCATGCACAGAACATGTGCTCCAGTGCTGACCTGTGGCTTTCCTTCCAATGATATAACCCTGCTAAATGTTCTGGTGAAAGGATCACCCCCTCAGGTTTCTGGTGCTCAGACTCACTACAGTTGATCAGAATGCCTTCCTTCCACTAAACACACCCACAAGCCTTCCCTGACATGGCTGTGGAAGTGGGAAGAGTCCACCCTTTTACCCCTTAAACCTGGATACACTATACTGAATAAAGAGCACTGGTGGCGTGGCTGTGCACACTTGTGACTAATGTATTTTTACATCTGCAGTTTGAAGGAGAAGACTCAAATGCAGACTTGTTCATAAAGGAAGATCAATTGGTCACAGGCCTAGTTTGTGAGGGATAAATCATAATCAAAGACCAGGCTGGGCTGAAAGACTAACGTTTGGTATCGCATGAGCTGCATTGGTCACAGGCCTAGTTTGTGAGGGATATCTCATCATCAAAGACTAGGCTGGGCTAGTTTGGTATCGCATGAGCTGGTACCAGGCAGACAGCAATGGTTTATGTTTTGCAAGGCATACCAAGAAGGCTCCAGTCTCTGGACTGCCTTAGTCGGACAGGTGAAACTCCAGGAGAAGAGCCAAACCTCCAGCAAGCAGCTTTTAGAAAACTACTAGGGAATAAGAGCCAACCACGCAAGATGTGAATTCTTAAAGGCCCTGTGTGTATATTTGTCTTCGTGTTCGTGCCTGCACAGAAAGTTGTTTCGAGGATTAGCAAATGTCTCTTACAAATATGTGTCAACTGATCTAGAGTGTATACCCTCCCAGGGGCATGTCATTAAACTCAAGCATCTGGAACATGCAGTGTGGGATTTTGGGGCTGGGTGGGTGTGCGTAGTGGGGATAGGAAGGGAAGGAGGCTGGTTGTTCATTTGTGAGTGCAGGTGCCGAGTGGGGGGGTGACTTTGCTCTCCCCTCCCTTCCCCTCACACTCCCTCTCCTGCCTTCTGTATCTCTAGGCCCGAGATTTGGAAGATGGATCTCCATGGCAACAGGCGGGGGGACAAATCCACAAGTACCCAGCTTGACGGGGGAGGGGGATCGGACCAGAGTCAGAGGAAGGGGGCAGGGAAGCCTTTTTGCTAAAGCCCACGCAAAGAAAACAAACAAAACAGAAAGTCCTGGCTTTCCGCCTCTCATTCTAATCTAGACCTTTCCACCCCCTTTTCTAGATCACCTAAGCCTTTTCTATGGTGCATTTTATGCCATAAAGTACAACCTGCTAGACCTCCCTCTTTATTTCTCATCTCCACCCATCCCCACCCTGCTACCAAAGAAGGGTGTTGTTCAATGTTTCCCTGTGTGTAACTAGGCAAATCTTAACAGGCATTTGATCTAGCAAGCAATTGTGTTCCTCCCCAAAGCTTCAACTGCTATTTCCTATCAGTGTTTAACATGCCAGGATACGATCTCAGTTTTGACTGCTGTTTTCCCCCTACTGAGCTGTGGTTAAACCCACAAGAACAGAGCGATTCTGTTATTTTTCAAAAAAAAAAAAAAAAAAGCCCTTGCCCTGATCCATATCTCTTGCTCAGTCACTTCTGTAAATGCCTCCAGGTTCCCATGGCAATGAGTATATATGTGTGTTTGTGTGACATGTCCCACGTATATATGGGAGATTTAACGGGGGATGCTGAAGCATACAACATAACTTGGGATGGGATAAGAGATTTGCCTAGCAGTCAGATCCACCTGAAAGCTAAAGGAAACAAGTGGAGACTAACAGGGTAGAAGATAAAATAGTTGTAAGAAGACGGCTGCTTGGGCCTTCCTGGCTGGGTTGAGTTAGTGATGCCCGGTTGGAACAGCAGAATATGACATGGAACAACAACTGATTGGCAGGTGTTGATGGAATTGGCAAGTGAGGGAGGGGTTGCTTAGCGATCTCAGTGGCAGGCTTACTGTGGTTTCTTAGCAACCAGCAGGTCTGGACACGGAGAACTGAAGACGTGTTTTCCAGAATGCAATGCAAGACAGGGGAGTGGGGAGGAGATCCTCGACCTACAAGCTGCCCCATGGTGCGCGGTTTGTGTGTGTGTGTGCATGTGCATGCACGCGTGCACACACTGAATGTGAGTAATGCACCATGGAAGGGAAGGAATCATAACATTTATTGGGTACAGACTGAAAATATAATTATGAAGAGCAAGGGTCTTGTAGGTACCTTTCCAGGTGTTGCACACCTGTATCAACTTGCCAGCGTAAATGTTCTTTACCACAACAAGCAGCAAAGGAGATTCCACACAGGAAAAATGTGCCTCAGAAAACTGTGTCTGCACACACATGCACGTGACCCAAGAAATATGTTTGACAAAGATCTGTTCTGCACGTGCTGCAATGCATGAGGTTAGACATGAGCGAGACAGAAAATACATGGTCTGCATACACAGAAGTGTAGCTATGTATTCGAAAGAGATGATGGGAAGGATGAAGAGGGAAGCACATACTTTGCAATGGTGAAAGAGGGAGAAGATCTATGCACATGCCTTTGGAATTTCCACCCGGCAAGAGTGAGAGAGTATCCTTGAAAGCTATTTCAGTGCAAGTACTGTATGTCGGACATGAATGGTCTAACTGCCAAAAACTCTAACTACAACTGGTTCCTCCCAGTACTAACACCATTTTCTTTTCTTTTACCTTGCAAAATACTCGTAGAGTCAGGGAAGTTATAATATTTCATATAGAACTTGTGGGGGGAATAGGCTTAAGCCTTTTTACTATATTATATTTTATTCATTTATTTAACTTTTAGCAGTTAGTCTGCTAAAAAAAACAACCTCCAAGCTGCTTCTCTCCACCACCAGCAATCCCAGTGGGATAATAGCTGTATTTTTCCCTTGTACAATAAAATGAGATTGTACTGGAGAGGCAGTGTAGTGCAATGGATAGAGTGTCAGGATAAGGTTCAGGAGACTTGACTAGAAATCCTTGCTTGGCCATGGAAAAACACTGGTGGGGGGACGCCCTGGTAAAACCACCCCTTAAATATCTCAGATACTTTAGAAACCCCATTAAATTCACCATAAATTGTTATCAACTTGACAGCATATCATATACAATAAAGAGAAGCTTGTGAATAGTTTTTTGAGCTAGAAAAATCACTGGAGAGGAAAGGATTAATTAGAACCTTTGCTCTTCTAGCCTTTCATGCTAGACTGAAGACTCCACAATGTCACAGAAATAGTGTGATATGGAGTCATACCAAGATCTGGAAGACCTGAGTTCAAGTGTGAAATCAAGCATGTTGCTATCTAAGCCTGCTTGGTGATTAGGGGCCAGTCAGCTTTGCCTACTTCACAGGGTTGTTGTGAGGAAAGAGAGGGAATAGAGCCAGACATGTTCCCTGAATATGGGGAAAGCTAAGATACATTTGTTTATGCATGTGAAACAAACAAACAAAAAGCATAGCGAGAGAACTAAACAGAACTTGGGTTTGTGTGCAGATTGATCCTAAGAATTTGGGCCTGTACTTATGTTTCAGTTTCCAATCCAGAACATAGGACAAATGTATTCACAGAACAATGTATTACCATAAAAGCATCAAATTAGAAGGGATGCCCATTTCAGGAATTGCATGAGTGCAGCACCTTGATAAGAGCCATCCAGTCTCTGCTTAAAACATCTCCAAGAACAGAGAGGCCCTCACCACCTAAGACAGCTGCAACAGCCCAAACCATTATACATTTCTCCTAATATTTAGATATTATTTCCCTGCAATTTCCACTGACAATTCAAGTCCTGTCCTCTGGAGTGATAGAGTACAAGCATGAGTTGTGAAGAAGGTTTATAGTCACAACTAACCTGTTTCCCCGAAAATAAGACCTAACCTGAAAATAAGCCCTAGTATCGTTTTTGAGGATGCTCGTAATATAAGCCCTACCCCAAAAATGAGCCCCAGTTACGTGAAACCCCGCCCTCCACCCTTGTGCAGCAACCAGAAGAAGATGACATGACAGTATTTGAATACATGTAGATTGTTGAACCTGAAAAAAATAAAACTTCCCTTGAAAATAAGCCCTAATGTATTTTTTTGGAGCAAAAATTAATTTAAGACCCTGTCTTATTTTTTGGGGAAACACGGTAGCTTTTCTTGTGAATGTATTTCAACATTTGAGCTCAAGCAGGACCTTGTTCTGGTGCTCCCTGCCCAGACAAAACTTAGACAGGTCCCTGGTTCCCTATTTACAAAATGCAAGAATCATTAAAATGCAAAAGGCTGGGATACTCGGCTCACATAATAAGGAACAAAACAAAACAGATTGTTACAGCTGATCATACAAGGTGAAAACACGTGGGCAAAGGAGTGCAGTAGGAAAGAGAATGGCAACTAATTAGCTAGAAAACCTGGGACAATGGTTTGGGTGCAATACAGCATCATCATTTATAGCTGCTGCATCCAAAGTCAACTGGATACCCAACTCCTGGCAGGAAAGTTACAAGCAGAAGATTTCCTAGTTTTACAAGACCCTGCTAAATATACAGTCCAGTGTCTCACTGACTTCTGATGCTTAGAACCTGCTCCCAGAAAAACTGGCTTTCGCCTCTAAGTGCGCAGTAGTTCTCTTCCTCAGAGATACTCCTGCCTACTAGTCTACACTCTCACACACTCATCTTCCTGCCATCTCT